TCGGATTGGCCCGGGGTCTCCGTTTAATTTCTCTACTCGTGCCAGCGACCAAGTATTTCGCGGTTGTAGAGCCTCCTCAACCAAAACCACATCGCCCAGTTTCGGGGGAGAGTGATTTTGTAGGCGCGGTCCACTATGTTCCCATTTCGAATTGTCTCGAAGCATAATTAAATATTCTTTCCTCCAACGCTCCCAAAGAGAGTCTAGATTCTCTAGTGTCCCTTTCCAATGAGCGAGGAGCTGTTCATGAGGTTGTAAATGGTCGGTCTTCCTGAGTTTATTTGCTGGCTCATAGCTGAGGATAGAGCCAGGATGAATGAAATCTATAGGCCGTAATGGTAAAGGAGCACATTCACCGTCTGATACATGGGTGAGAGGTCTCGAGTTAAGAGCAGCTTCCACCTCCGCTATGAAGGTGGACAACTGGTCGTAAGGTAAAATTTGCTTACCTAATGTCCTTTTGAAGCATGATTTGGCTAATCCAATTAGCCTTTCATATACACCTCCAGCCCAAGGGGAGAGTGCGGGAATAAATTTCCACTCGATTTTATTTTCAGCCAGGAGAGGCGGCAAGGCTGAACTGATGGCTTTCTCAGCAAGGACGAAATTTCTTCCGTTATCGCTAAGAACTTTTTCAGGTCTCCCTCTCCTGCTAATAAATCGACGGAAGACATTAATGAATGATAGTGCGGTAAGATCAAGTGAAGGCTCGAGATACACAGCTCTTGTCGTCAGACAAGTGATGAGTACCAGCCAACACTTTATGTGGACTCCATTAAATTTTGTGAGCGTAGGACCGGCGTAGTCGATTCCAATTGACTGGAATGGACGTCTCTGTTGAACGCGGTCAGAAGGAAGCGGTGGCATTTCAGGTAATGCATACTTGTAGGAATTCATTTTCCTACAGGCCATACACTCAGAAATGACACTTCGCACTGCTTGGCGGGCTCTAGGTTGCCAATATTGCGAAAGATATTCTGTTAACGTCCAGTCTACTCCTCCATGGCATAATTTTTTATGTATATGCGCTATGAGGAGTTTGCCGGCACTTGAGTTTTTAGGTAGCAGAATTGGATGGATTAAGCCCTCCGGGCTTTTACTGTTTGTTATCCGGGTTTGAAAGCGGATGATTTCCTGATCGTCTGTTATGTGTTTGTATTTCTGAAGTTCCTCTGAGCATTCTCGTTGCTCCCATTTAATTAAATATCTCTCTGCCAAGGTGATGTCCGTGGCTGTTGGAGGCCCATTTTCGGAGACTGATTTTAGGCCAATGGTGGGGGCTCCTTTTATCCCGAGTATAACCTTGATGAAACGGAGTATGTAGATCATAATTCTTCTTGTTTTGGACCAAGAGCTCGAGCGGTTCAATAGCTGATGGCTTTCGCGCGAGGTCACCTGGACTGGGAGAGATAAAATTTGGTCATTGTAGATTTCTTCAGTTTCTTTTTCTATAAGTTTAAATGAGTCGAAAGTTGGGTCCTGAGGCCAGTTGGCTCTTCCTTGTGCCAACCATTTGGGACCGGACCACCATAACCGACTCTGATTAAGCTCTTGGGGTGATAACCCCCTGGTGGCTAAATCCGCCGGATTTTCATCAGTTCGGATGTAGTGGAATGTTATGTTGACGTGTTTCTTTATCTCATCAAGCCTCCTTTGTACAAAGGTGGGTTGATTTTGAGATGATTTAACCCATGAGAGGGCGATTTGGGAATCGCTCCATAAGTGAATTTCAGCCAGAGGCACTCCTATTTCTTTCTCTATATAGGCAGTGGCTCGGACTCCGATGAGAATGGCGATCAATTCCATTCGTGGAATTGTCAAAGTTTTGCCTCCCTTTTTAGGCTTGAGGCGATTTTTTGAGAATATGAGTGAGGTGGTTACGGTATTTTTATTCACACCTCTTAGATAAATAGCGGCAGCGTAGGCGCATGATGAAGCGTCTACGAATGTGTGAAGTTCAATTTTGTCGGTACTAATTGAGAGTGCCCTCCGAGGAAGAAAAATGTTCGAGTCTCGCCACCCTTTGAGAAAATGTTCCCAAACGGACGATTCTTCCTCGGAAAGGGGACTGTCCCAATCTCTTCCCTCGTCCCAGAGTTTCTGAAAGAATAACTTGGCTGGGAGGATTGAGGGAGATAGTAGGCCTAGCGGGTCATAAATGCCGGCTAGAGAACTGAGGACAGCTCGCCGTGAGGTGTTCGATTTAACTCCTTCTTTCGGTAAGAGGAAACTAAGTTTGTCTGTGTGTGTATTCCAAGCATTCCGAGGACTTTAGGTTCCTTTGAGTCTAGGCGGTCCTTTTCCGGAATGGCTTTCATGAGTTGACTGGAATTTGATGAAAATTCACGAAGATTCATTCGTGCGTCGGAAAATATCTCTTTTGCCCTTTGGCACTTGTCAAGGAGTTCAGGCCAAGTTTCCGCGCCTAAATGGAGGTTATCCACATAGAGGCTGTTGGCTAGTTCCGCTGCAACTCCTTTACCGTATTTGCCAAGATGGTGACGAATTACTCCCGCTAATAAATAAGGGGAGCAAATTACGCCAAAGGCCACTCTTGCAAATCGGTAATATTGAATGTTTTCTCCTTCGGGTGGTCTAGAAATGTCCTTCACCCAAAGAAATTTGGCGAACTCACGGTCGGAAGGATGTAATCCGACCATTAAAAATGCAGATTCTATATCTGATATTGCGACATATTTTGGTAGTCGGAACCGAATTAGCAATCCGACTAGCTCTGGCAGCAAGACAGGCCCTCGCAGCAGGCAATCATTCAACGATGGTTGCCCCCGAGGGTGAGCGCTGGCATCAAAAACTGGTCTAATTTTGTGGGTAATAACGGCATGATGGGCCAAATAGTGTTCTTGCCCTTCAGTATTTCTTTTTGCTGGTTCAATGATTCCTTGCTTCAGGTAATCTAGGAAAACTTTATTATATTTTCCCAATAGATCGGCTGATCGATGAAGGCTAGTGTAGGTGGAACAAAATCGGCTGAATGCCATTCTATAATTGCTTGGTAATGGGGCTCTAGGTTCGCGCCATAACCAACTAACTGAGTATCGTCCTTCATCATCCTGAGTTATTGATGTTTCCAATTTATTTATGGCTATCTGGTCGTCGTCAGCAGCGGGATTCTCCTTAATCCCGATGCTCTCTAAACTCCAGAATTCCTCTATTGTATTCGATGGTGGCATTTGGTCTACGCATGTTTTGCCTACCGCGGCTAGAGAATGCGACAATTTACCTCCCTGAGGACTCATGTCGGATTCACCTCCCACGACTGGACCAAATACTGTTTGTATGACGAATAGACCTGGGGCAACTTCAGTTTTGCCCATAAAATATTTCCAGAAATGTCGGGTACCAAGCATGATCCCCGGAATCTCCGTAGACAGCTCAATCGCTCTACGAACCTCCGGCAAATCGGTAGCTCTAGTAGGCATTTCTGCTACCCAATTAGCCATTTCAAATGATGTACTGATTTCTTTTGTCCAATTAAGTTCCAGGTCTTCCCATCCCCCGTCTTCCCTTGCAATAGCAACGGCGTAAGACGGTGATCGGATCCTGATTGGGTCACGCAGCGTTCCTCCAAATCCGTGGACCTCAACATCGTCCCGCGCAATTTGAGGAGGCCGCAACTGGTTGGCTAGTGAACTTGAGATATAACTTAACTGGCTTCCAGGATCGAAGAAAACAAATGCTGGAATTTCCTTAAAAAGCTCTTTCGGTGAGGCAACTGCTATCTTTCTAGTCATAAGATAAGCAGTTGGCTTTTTTCGTAAATGTCCGTAGGCGACGCCAGAAATTGTTTTGCTCGTCTCCTCTTCTTCAGTGTTAGTAATTGGTTGGGTAAGATTTGAACCTGTGCCGGGACCCTTATCTCTGGTCGCGGCCATCTGAGAAAATTGCTTGTTTGGTTTTTGCCTGTTAGGTGGACGATTCGGTGCCTTGGGTGTAAAAGTCGGACGTCCTTTCGTACAAACCAAAACGTGATGACCCTCCTGGCACTGCGCACATACTCTAAAGGAAGGGCATTCTTTAACAAAATGACCTTCGTTTAAGCAACGCATGCATCTTCCTTGTTCCTTTAAGCGACGAAGGCGGTCTTGAGGCGATGGATATTTAGGACATTGTGACGGAAAATGTCCGAGAATGCCACACAACGAACATTTACGCGCTCTATTTCTAAAGCGGTTAAATGTCGGTCGCTGATGTGATGGTGCCCCAAAGGCACGAGTCATTTCAGGCTGCCCTCTGTCAGGGGGCCCCTTATTTCTATGAATGTGGGTCTGTGCTACCTCATGTTTTACTCGGTTCACTGTAGCACACCTCTGAACTTCTTCGCGGATCTCCACGATCTCGCGCAATTCTTTTCTAAGTTGAGCACAATTCCATCTCGCTCCCGAGCCCCTCTCCTTCTCAATTAACTTAGAGATGATGGCCTGGGGCAGCTTTGACTTGATGGCGGTTGAAATGAAGGGGGACGTGTCCACGTGCCCGTAAGCTTCTAGCTGTCTGCAGATCCTCTCAACTGAATCTACAAATGAGCGGAGTGAATGACTGCTCTCATTTGCGTGGTGGAGGTTCATAAGTTCGGCCTCAAGGGCTTCTGTAATAGCCCTACTATCTCCATAGCGTGATTTAAGCAGGTCAAGAGCTCGCGAGTAGTTCTCATTCGACAGAACAAATCCCGCGACTAACTCTTTAGCTGGTCCCTGAAGAAATGTGGTCCCTGAAGAAACGCTGTGGGCATTTACAATAGCTTTATAAGAATTTAATTATATTGTTGTGATTTATTTTATTTATAAATATTACCTCGCATCGGGACCAGGTTGTCCATTTTCCCCAAATTGTCCTCGCATTCCATCCCACCCTTTAATAAAACATTTTTAGATAATTTTCAATCTTTTGTAAATTTATTATAATCTACCAGGCTGTCCAGGTGGACCTTCTTGACCAGCTTCTCCCTTCATCCCTTGCAAGCCTGGCATTCCAGGACGGCCTTAAATTATTTTGAATTTTATTTCCTTATAAAATTCACCTGGAGCTCCGATATAACCCTTTGGCCCTGGCATTCCAGCCATTCCTGGCTCGCCTTGCCTTCCAGCTGTTCCTCTAACACCTTCCAATCCAGGAGGGCCAGGCATTCCTTCCTTGCCTGCCGTTCCCTGCTGACCCATCTCGCCAGGTGATCCAACTTTTTAATGATTAATTATATTTTTAGAATTAAAAAAATTAAAATTTTATTACTCTGTCCAGGATGGCCAGGCTTTCCAGCAAGTCCAGGCAATCCAGAACCGCCCTCAAATTAATTTATTATTTATTTAACCTTATATTATTTACTCACAGGAGCTCCAGGCGGGCCAGCAGGTCCAGGATATCCTCTTAGACCTGGGGGTCCTGGTGGGCAAACACCTGTTTAATTTGAGTGAAATTATTGGTAATTAGAAAATCTCGGACAGCTTTACTATACATATTTTACAACTTACGACAACTTTCTTCAACTGGCGCCTGTGTTTGTGCTGCTATTGCCTGTTCCCCCACAGGTCCAGGTTCGCCTGGTTTTCCATGTTCCCCATCAAGTCCCGCTTGGCCTGGGGGCCCAGGGGGACCTGGTGGGCACTGTGCTGTATTAATACAATCACAGCTAGGATTTGCAGCCAGTCGTTTTTTAATTCTTGCATCGGTAATTGAAGAAAATGAGAGGACAGAAAATCTTTTCTTTGTATTAACCAGTAAATCAGTCCAAAGATTTCCCTTTAAATTCAAAAATAATTTTTATTGGCAAATTAAAGATTTTTTGACAGATTTTTTAAAAATTTACTTGTAATGTTTTGAATTCATCCATTCCAGTATCCACTTCCCTTCGAATATTACTAATTTGTATTAACATTTGTTGTAGATAAAATGATGTTAAGTAAACCACAATAATTGAAGTGCTAATAGCTATAAAGCCTGTAACTCGGCCTTCTGTCAAACCCATACCCATTTTTCTATCTAAAAATATTCTTAGAAAATTTAGTTTTATTTCTCCAGTATTTTTTGAGTTTTGTACAGGTGAATTAGGATTTGAAAAAAGATCCAGATCCGAAAGAAGACCGGATATCCGGAAACTTTCGGTTCGGATACCGGATCCGGATATCCGAATATTTCCAAATATCTGACAACCTTACTGGTGAATTAGGAACACGTCGTATTTTTTAATAAATTTTCTGATCCAAAATGTCTGAAACTTTCTTCAAGTAAAAACTTTTTGATATTTTACTTTAATATAGTTAATGGTTTTTTGTTTGAAATTATTTTCAAAATTTTAAAAATAATATTTAAGAATAAAGCAACGAAATATATTTAAAATTCAAAATTTTCATAATTCTCGTAATTAAAATAATTTATTATGGCTATAGCTGTATTTCTTGTGTTGTTTAATATTTCCTCTATCTAAATTCCATAATAAGCTTACCATAAAAGATTTTTTGTCCGAATAACAAAAAAACATTCAAAAAACGATCACATAAAATAAAATTAAATATAAATTCTTGTTTTTCTCTAATAAAGATGCTATAACAGGTTTACATTTGGATTTATTTTGGAGAAGCTAACAAAACTTAATATCAAATTAATGGTTTGGAAAATGAGAAAACTAAAAGGAAAAAGCAATAAAAAAAAAGATTTTTTGGACAAACAGCAAATTTAGAAAATAACGGAATTATTAATTAATTAGCCAATTTGTAAACCTTTTAAATTTATAATTATTTTGTTGGCCTAACAAAATAATTTTTTAAAATTATTTTACTTTTTTATAAACCTCTATGCTTTGTTTAGTAAACAAAATATGTAATGTATATGTGATTGGATAAAATATTATACGAAAACTAGTTTTTAAATGTATTTCCAACAAAAAATTTTTTAATCATAGAATTATTTCCTTCTCAGTTATCAGGCCATAAAAGATTTTAATTTTACTCCTTAATGTTACAACATTTATACTATCAACTATAAATAAGCGTTATGATCATAACTGATCATAACATTCAAGCTGTACAGGGTGCGCCATAAGTAATTGCACACTTGTTTTCTCTCATAACTTTATTAAAACACAATCAAATAAAATCGAAATACAATCAAATGATAGAGAATTAAATAAGGAACAAAAATAATCAAGAAGATACTGTGTGCCCACCCTTGGCTTTGATACAGAGGCGAAGGCGCGAAGAAAAATTTTCGCATATAGCACGCACCTCTTTGAGTGTAATTAAGTGCCACTCCCGGCTGAGAGAATGGCGCAGAGACTCCAAACTTTTTTGAGGCTTAGCACAGACCCTGGACTCCAAAATAGACCAAAAAGAATTATCCATTGGGTTTAGATTCGGGGAGTAGGACGGCCATTCCTGAGCGCTAATGAACCCAGGAAAATTGGCCTTGCACCAGTCCTGAACTTCTTTCGTCTTGTGTGCCGGAGCAGAGTCCTGTTGGAAAATCCAGACTATGCGACCGAAATGGCTCTTGAACCGAGGCTTCAGAACATATACACACTAGAATAACAATAAAATTAAGAGTTGTTAATACAAAATTTAAAAAGAAAGAGAACTCGAAATAAACTAATAAATTTAAAACAAAAATTTTCTATTTAGAAAATGTTTACTATGCCTGACAAAAATACCCCTATTCAAATATTATCTTCAATTTGTTTTGCTTTTACAATAGGAGCTTTAATGATAAGTTTAAATTTATTTTTTGATTTGGAAAAGATGGATGCTGAATTAAAACAAGAGAAAATAGAATTTAAAGTTTCTTAAACTAAAAAAAGATTTTTTATTTTCTTATTTTAGTTAATAACTGATAAATCTTGGGAATTACTTTTGGATCCAAAATTTCAAAGAAATAAACGGCAAACATTTTATGGGGGTGCTACTGATCCAAATTGTCGTAAGTTTTTATGTACCTATACTGAAATTTTATTAGACCCTCGTTATAACACCCCTTCAAATGTCGATTCAGAAGGCCGAAACACATTAATATAACCCTTCTGATACTATATTATTTTTTAAAAGTTCAGATTGTGCTCCAAGTGCTCAAAACTGCCCTAAAGGACCTCCTGGTCCTGATGGAGAAAAAGGCGAACCAGGAAGTAAAGGGAATTTAATTTAGATTCTGATAGCTTCTGTTGAAGTCTATCAGAAGAGAAAAAAAAATTTCCCATAATCTCAAAATTTGCAGTTCCGGGCCAAAACGGACCACCTGGCAAGCCAGGCGAAAAAGGAGGTATTTTTATTTTTGAAAAGGTTAAACCACCATGTGTGAAGTGCCCAGCTGGAGAACCTGGTCCAAAAGGAAGACCAGGAATACAAGGTTTATTGAATAGATTACTTAGTAAATATTTAAACATTTACAGGTCCCCCTGGTCCGGACGGAAAAATGGGTGAGAATGGGAGACAGGGAAATGATGGAGTTCCTGGAAATGATGGACCGCCCGGTGAAAGTGGTCCCCCAGGTAATTAAAAATATTCAAAATCAGCTATTTATTTCCTTTTCAGGCCCTCCTGGTATAAATGGAGAATCTGGTCTTGGCGGAGGAAAGATCATAAAATAGTAAAAAATATCTAAATTTCATTTTCATGTATATCTCCCTTCAATTCAGCATTAACACTCCTGGCCCGAAAGGATCGCCGGGACCTATTGGCCCACCGGGTGATCAAGGCCTGCCAGGATTAGACGGTCAACCTGGAAGTGATGGTCTTCCCGGTTTAGTAGGACAACCAGGCCCAGCAGGAGATAATGGCGAGCCAGGAATCCCTGGAAAGGTGAGAAACTTTTTTAAATATAAATTTAATTTTATGTTTACAGCCCGGAAAACCTGGGAGAGAGGGAGCAGAGAAGAACTATTGTCCATGCCCCCTGCGATCACTTCCCGTGCCTTCAGCTGCAGGACTTTATCAAATAAATAATAAAAACAGAAGAGGTCTTAAAGAAGGCAATGTACGGATAAAATCCTGATTTTTAATATAAATTTTTTTGATTTCAATCGCTAATATTATTAACATTTAAAATGGAGAAAGAACTTTTAATTTGACACTCACTTTAAAATATTAGCTTTTTAAACATATATTCAAATTCACTAAAAATTTTATAGTTATACATATTTAAATTTTCGTGATAGAATAGAATTTTAAATTATGAGAAAATATCAATGATAGGAATGAATTTTACTTAGCAAAAGTACTCTTGGAAACAAAACGTTTTTGTAATTCAATTTATTTTACTTCAAAAATTAACCAAAATTATATTTTTATATCTCTTCACAATCCCCAGGCTCCTCGTTCAGATCAAACCGATACTTTTTATTTAAATCTATCCCATTAACTGGGAGATTCAAATCTACGTCTCCAAATAAATTTTCTTCTTCCTTATTATTCTTCTCAGCCCCTTCCAGTTGGTCACCCTCTTCCTCATGAGGTGCCCCTCCCAATTGAAGACTCTCTTCCTCACAAGACTCTTTTCCTTTACCTTCACAATTATCATTCTGTGGATGATCATTGGAAGTTCCTTCATGATTAACCGATTGAATTGTTAATTCTTTCTGAGGAATTTCTTTTTCGTTTTTCCTTTTCTGATAATAATTTCTCATATTTTCCTTCAACTTATCCTTATTTTTAATATACTTCTTTCGATCATATTCTCGCTTCTTTTCTTTGTTCTTTTGATAATATTTGTTTGCATATTCTCGCCTCTTTACTTCATTCTTTTTATAATAAGTCCGATTATTTTCATTAATCTTATCCTTATTTTTACGGTAGTATTTTCGATCGGATTCAGCTTTTCTTAATTTTCTTTCCAATTCATTTCCATTTATATCCTTTTTTGTATTTTTATCAATTTTACACTTAGGTTTTAACATTTCTTTATATTTCTGACTTTGAGGATTAACAGATGATTCGGCCATTTCATTTAATTTCTCTGGTACTTTACTCATAGAACTAGTCCCTTCATTTAAATTTTTATCATTTTCCCCGCAACTTATTAAACTCCAAAATATTGTATTGAATAACAAAAAGATTATAATAAGAAAAAGTTTCATCTAAACTTAAATATATTATTTAATTGAAAATAGATAACGAGAACAACAACCTAAACAAATGCATAAATAATAAAGACGTCCTGTGCGGAAAATAGAGTGGCACAATACCTCGCTGACTCAATTTGAGGAGGGACAGGAGAGATTCAACCAGAACGAATCAACTCCTTAGTTTGAACGGGCAACGGAGATCTCCAATCTCCAGAAACCAAATTCCTTAGTAAAACACACAAAACACAGAAACACAATAAAAATGTTTATTTAGTTAAAATAAGATTATAAAAGAAGTGCCTCGGGGGAATATAAGCCGAGCACAAGTTTGGGCTGCCGGTCAACAAAGCAGGCCCTTGTGGTCTCAAAAGATTAAAATATGGGCAAGTCAAAAGTTGGTAATAATTGATTGGCAGAGCTCAGGGAGCGCTGGCAATAAAAGGGTAAGCAAGTAAAAGCTGGAAACAATTCAAAAGCAAGTAATGGAAAAAACAACAAGTGATGGACAAAACAAGTGGTAGTAAGCAAGTAAGAAGCAAGTAACTGAATAAGAGCAAGTGATTAAAAAGAATAGGCCAAAACATTAAATAGGGGTAAAAAATGGGCGTAAACAAATATATTTTAAGAGAGCAAAGAAAAGTGTGAAAAATTGTGTTTTGAGCGGGGAAATAAATAAAGTTAAAAATTAATTATTAAAATGAAATGGATTTTAAGTGCCCTTTGGGCACATTCCCCGCCCAACAAAAAGGAATATATCTAACGAGGTGGAAGACGAGAAAATGCGGTACGGATGGATTTAACAAGACGGGCGGTTGCCCCCTCAATTGCAAGCAAGTCTTGCGTATATTCTTCTCCTCTGCCCTCACGATTTTCTTCTTCAATTTCATTCAAGGCTGTCGAGGCGGCTGTAGCAATTTGAT